CGGGCAGGCACCCTCTCCTCGCCCCGCTCGGAAAGCGCTACCTGCGCCTTGTTTTTCCTCTCCCCGTAGGACGGTCCCGCGCCCTCCGCTGTGAAGAGAATGGCCGTGACTCTAGAGCAGGCCCAGCGGGTGGGCTATACCTGTCTGAAAGCACTCCTCAGGTTCGCTTTTATGGTCGCCAATAACCTGGTTGCTATTCCGTCCTACGTCTTGTATTTAATTATGCTGCAGCCTCTCCGAGTGTTGGATAGTAAAAGCTTCTGGTATATCGAAGGAGTATTATTTAAGTGGCTTTTAGCTATGGTGGCTTCCTGGGGCTGGTGGGCAGGATATACAGGTAAGAATGTCTTCTTAATTTAAAATGTACGAGTATAAAGATGTAACTAAGTGTTAAAACACAGATGTTTTCGTATGGGGACGTGTAGGGGAATATCTAAATATAGTGGATATGTAGATGTTTTTCTTTCAGGTTTCTTACACAGATGCATTGTATTTCTGGATTGAGATGCTGAGTGTACTGAAACGTTTTTTTAATTTGTAGGTACAAACTTATTATGTGCTAAGTAAGAGTTTCTCAATCAGTATTTTGTCTTGGTATAATCAGAAATACGATTTTTCCTAAGTATCTTGATCACTTTATTGTAGCATTACACGAAAAAGGTACATCTCTTCAAAAGAGAGTTGATTCGTGCTGTGCATGTAGCTGATAGAGCCAAACTTTTCTTTATTAAGTCTGTGCATCTCTAAATCATCTCCACTTAAAACTATCAGGACATAAGGCTGAGAAGTTTGACACGAAGCTCGTGTCGTAAGAGTAGGTCTTCTATTCCTTGCAACAGTGACAGTCTTTTCTGCTGCTTCAGAATGGAAGGAAACAGAGGGAAGCTCTTTCATACAAATAGTGATACGCAGTGTTTCTCGACTGTATGGCTCTTCATTTACTGTTAGCAGAGCTAATTACAGAATCTGTAGGTTTTTTCCCCTCTGCATGCTTGCTTTGCAGTTATTATTGAACTTATTTTTGCTTGTTAGTATTCATAGGCTCATCGAGGTGATGGACTGAACTGAAATATTAAGGAAGGCTCTAGTCTTGTCCTTAAATGCACTGATTTTCATCCTGGCTACTGCACTTTGTGCAAGAAAACAGCCATCAATTCTTTGTATGTGCTTAGACCTTGGAAAGGGGAGGAAATTAATCTGCTGAGTGCAAAATATGAACAGCCCTCCTAAAATTCTTTCCCTCTCTTCTGCCCAGGCTGCATCCACAGGTCTTGTCCATGTACACAAGGAAAAAAAGGAATGGCAGCACACAGCTCTGGAGTCTGGTCAGACTCCTGATTAGTCAGAAAGTCAGTGTTGACCCAGATGGAGCGCTTTTTTTGTTAGGCTACAAGAGCTGAAGCCTCTGTGATAATTTGCCTTTTTGGTACCCTGTCGTGTGCCTTTCCGAGATGCACAAAGTTTCTGTGGATACTCTAGGTGAGCTTCCAGTTCTTCTTAAGGAGATGGTGGCAGCAGCAAGCTAGATTCTGGTCTATGGGGCTAGAACTGTCGCAACGTTGCACTGCTTCAAAATTGCCTTGCCTGGTACAGCTCAAGCTTTTCCAGATATGCTGTTTTAAAAATCTTTTTATATGTTTGTATTTGCTCATTAAAAGAAGTCCACATAGTATTTGCAGTGGCAGGTATGTTTTTAAAAGTCTACTTTATGCCTTAAAGCACAAAGGCCTTCCAGAAGGAAGGATTGACTTTCAAGGTGTAATGTGTATTATTAATTGGAAATGGGAAAGTTTATGGGCATAATGGTAACGTTAAAGTCATACAGCATATGACCCCGGGGATTCGCTGTGTATATTGAACGTGCTAGTTAAAATTCAAGCCATTGTCCCATGACAATATGGTTGTCAATTTTTGAAAGCAGTTTCCTTGGGATAGTTTTACTGCTGACTGCAGAACTGTGTGGTTTCTTTTGCCTATTGCTTGGAAAGTGGTCTTAGCATGATCTGCATATCCTAGAGTCTTCCTGAAGCATCTGTTGATTGGTGTTGCTGATGTATCTTGACAATTTGAAATCCTTTGTTTTACAGTCTTGAAATGTCTTAGTATGTTTGTTTGAAGTATCATTTACAAACAGCTACACAGAAGTGTTTTCTGGGATGGTGTATGGGTAAGGAGGCCCTTCTTTTCGCTTTTCACTATAGAGCATGGCTTTTGTTTTGGGGAGGATTTTAAGTGAACGCTTGTACGAAGTCTCAGTTTAAATATATTTTATTTGATATGAAGACGTTAACATGTTTTATACTGAAAGCTACAAAATAGCAAGAATAGCTTGTTTCTTTGTCCATTCTTTCTTTACCCTCATCAGTGCTCACCACCACATGCAGAACAAACCTGGAAAGCGTATCTTTCTGGCTTCAACATACGTAGACAGAGTAATTTATGTGTCTGTTTCCAGCTTGATAGATTTATAAAAGATTGTCGCTAGGTCCCCTCTTTTTATAGAGTACGACATAACTAATTCAGAACTGAAATACTGCTTTATTAGAGTTGGCGTCTTAAGACTTGCAGTGGTGCATCTGAAAGCGACATTGCTCCAGAATTCTTCTGTTTTCAGTTCCAAAAACTGAGTCAAAGATAGGCTTCAGTATGTTCCATCTTTGCAAAAGTAAATACAAGATATTAGGTATGTATGGGTTCATTGAAAAGATTAAGGATTTTTCTTTTTGAGTAGCAGAGCAGTTGGTGAGTTGGTTTTTTTTGTTTTCCTTCTTGATTGAGAGGGTAACCAGCTAAATAAGTTTACTTGTCTTTTAATTGGAGGTAGTGTTCTGCTTCAGTTGTGTTGAAGGTGTGTTTCAGTTTTTTAATTTATTTACTACTACTTCTTCCGAGCTTGGGTCATCTGTTGGGTGAGAAGTGACATAAACCGTTTGTAGTTAGGGACTTAAACTCAGCCTGCAAAGTAGATTGAGTGGACTTTTTTTTCCCCTGTAAGTTTGTATGTAACGTGTAGGAGAGAGCTCAGCTCCAAATGAAGAAGATATGGTGAGTGCTAGGTTTTCCTTCTGGGTTTTGCTGCTGTTGTGTAATTGTTGGTATATTTTATTGAATAAAACTGGAAGAGCTGGGGAAAACTCAGGAACTAGGTCTGCCCTTCTCCTCCCCACCCCCACATAAACCTGTGGTTTTGTGCTAGGATCCTAGAGGATTTGTTACAGAAATTGCATGATCTGTGTCTAGATTTGTGCTTTTTGATAAACGTAGGTGCTTCTGTTTGCAGATGCACTTGATGCTATGTAAAGAGATAGTGTATAACTGGACAAGCAAAATAAAGAAAGGAATGAGAGGAGAAATTGTAAAGGTCACTTCCTTTGCCTAATCTTTTTCTTCTTAAGATGCAAGTATGAGAGAGAACTTGGGTATAATTGGTTGCCTTTGATTTTTAAAGGGCAGAGTATGATAAATATCTATGTTGTTCTCTTGAACTCTATAGTGTTTCTTATGAAAAGGAAAACTGAGTGTCTTTTTATGAAAAATGTTCAGATAGTCTAGCAGTGTTATTTAATTTTTATATGCTTTCAGAAAGGCCTACAATGTATTGCTCTCGTTGTAGGAGCTGTTCAGTTAGGACACTCGGAATCTGCATATTAGTGTGATTTGAAAGGCACCTTTGAATAACACTTCTAAATATTTTCCTGCATTTGTTGGAAGATGCATTCTAAAAAAAGCAAACTCGAGAGTGCTTGATCCTTTGTTGGCAAGTACCTTTTTTTCCCCTATACTATAATTTGTCGTTTAATATACAAGTAAACCAGAAACATCTACTGCACTATTTAGTGGTAATGGGAGGGAGATGGAGCATATCTGTGGTGGTGATTTTCTGATGACCTCTTGCTCGCCTATGAAACTAGTTTTAAAGCAACCATCTTCTAGTTTTGAACTTCTTTGGGCAAGTAACTATTGCAGACTAAAGTTTAATATCCCTGTATCTAATCAAATCGCTAAAAATAGGACTGCTAGAGAAAAGCTTGCTTTGCTTAAATATGCTTAAACAAACTGTTTTGTTGTCTTCTGCTGTCTAAATGCAGAAGTTAGCATTAGCCTGTGATAGTGTTGTCGCGGTATCGCAACTGGAAGTCTCTAGGACAGCAGAGTAATCGGTTAGCAATGCAGTCCTGATACTCATGATGCTAATCTTGTGCTTCACTCTGCTCCACACAGCTCGGTCCCACTGTAGGGAGCAGTGGTGTGTGCCCAGGGGACGGGGAGGAGCTGGCGGAGGGCGAGTGTCCTCTGTCTGCAGCAACCGTCAGTGCTCTTTTCCCTGTCAGAGCACCAGGGGAGAGGTGTTCCATGTGGTCAACAGGGTTGTGTGCATCTTGGGAAGGGGTTTCCTTGAGAGTTGTGCTTGGAGTATTTCATATTCCAGCAGTGAAGAGGACAACTTGACAAAACCTTCTGTTTCAGCCTCTTGCCAACACACACAGTCCTGCAATAATGTTGGGACAGGTTGGTGGGCTGCGGGCTGATGAACGGAAGAGCAATACATCTCTGTTACCACGCACAAAAAAGTCTGAGTGGTGTGGGTATGCTTACTGGCATAGTCTGGCATAATGATGCAGTGCTTAATAAAAAGTGAACTAATCCTAAGGTATTGCCTGTTAACTGTTCTGTGTCAGCCAGCAAGGTGACATTTAAAGAGTGTCTGAGAATTGTCAAGTTTTGTCAAGCGAGGAGAATTTCCCTTTCCTCCTTCTTTGTTATTCAGCCAAGTAGAGTAAAATTGAGATTTGGATTTTTAGTTGTGTCCCCCCTCCTCTCCCCTCAAGTGACTTAAAATTTATTGGCTGATTTGTACGTGTGATTAAGTAGTGGCCACTCTAATTTTTTTTCAGCAGTCATACTTCTTTTTTCTCTAATTAAAAATCTTCTTTGTTTCCATTTCATCAGTCAACAGCCTCAACTCCTCTAATCTTCTAAGAATGTGAATATTTTTGTCTTCCAGAACTGTAAAGGATACAGGTGGAGTTGCTGTGACAACACTTCCTCAGTGCAGACAGCGTCTGCTGTCTGTGCTGCTTCTCATGACAAGTCGGCCCCTCTCCTCGGGCAGGAAGTGCAGCAGAAGCTGGAGAACAGCAGATGAGATAAAGTAAATGTTTTTGCCCCAAATAAGGCAGGAGGTGTTATTTCAGGAGACTTATCTGTGCCTCTAACCCTGCCATTGTTTTCTACCCTCCTCTGTTCCTACAGTGTGATTTTTAACTGGCAATATTTTGTTTTCGGGACTGGTTACTACTCTGAGGACTGGGCAGGGAGGGGCGTGGGGGAAACAAC